TTATATAAACCATTTCTTTTACCTTAGCTCCGTTCAGTTTCAATAGCCGAGAGCTCCTCTTTTAAGTAAAAATATGCGGGAAACCTGTTTGGACGGCTTTCTTTGTAAATGTTGCTTTTTGTAAGACAGTTTTGAAACTGTCAGCTTAAGTTCAGAGGTATTTGTGAGGAGGTTTTTAGTCGTGTGGTTGTTTAGAACTTGAAATAGAAATATTATATTACATTTTGTGTTGGATTTTTTTATGGGACCAGTCGGAAAACGGGCTGACGATTGGTAACCAATCGGCGTCACCCATGGACATTTGGAACACCAGAGGTGTTACAAGTGCGTTACCGGCCTTTTGGGGATTTTTGTGGATTCAGGGATTGGGGAGATTGGATTCACACGACGAAACTAAACGCAAGCGTTGTTTCACTTCGGTTTTCTGTAAGGCCGTGGTATCACTCCGGTCGAGCTGGCTCATTCGTGCCGAAGTACAGCTCCCAAATTTTCATATACACTTGTGTAAAGATAGCATATAAATTGATACATTTTGCAACTTCATCTATCCTAAAGTAGACTTACTTGAAGCCTAATGTTCAACAGATAAATTTAGAATCAAAATGAATTGATTCTCATTAATTTACGATACCAAAGTTCCAGTGAAACGATTGCTCAGTTGTCCGTACATCACTTACTAGCATTACTGTCTTTATTACTCAAGTAATAAGATCGATTTTCCAACGTAATGTTTGGTATCTTAAGCAAATGTTCCAAGTTTGTCTTGCTTCTCAAGTTGTGGCATTTCATTTCCTGAAGAAGTTTGGTAATCATGATTTATGTTTGTTTGTTGACGAGTTGGTGTGATCAAATTATTATTTTCGTGTTTTCATATGGATATTAATTAGTGTTATTGATGTGCGGATGTGTGTGAGTTTCTTGATAAAGTTTCTGCTTATTTTGTTTTATGGGATAAGCCGGTAAACGAGCCAGCGGGTCACCCGATGATAAGCAATCGGCGTCGCCCATGGACACCTGGAACACTAAAGGCGTTACAAGTGCGTTACCGGCCTTTTGGGGATTAGGAATTTGCGGATTGTTGGGGATTCAGGGATTGTAAGGGGGAAGGGGTAATTGTCCCTCCGATAACCTCACTCACATGACGACACACAACGCAAGCGTTGTTTCACGTCGGTTTTCTGTGAGGCCGTGGTATCACTCCGGTCGAGTCGGCCCATTCGTGCCGTAGCATGGCTCTCCCTCACTTGCGAATTGTATTTATTAGATAGGAAATATTTGAAAATCAATATTTTTTTATGTTTCTTCTTGAATCGTAATTACTAACAGTATCTAATATATATTTTTGTAAAGTTATTCGTTTCGTATGTACAAATAATAATTTTGTATGTACCACCATTGTGATCTATGTGAAATAAGGTAAGAAATATGTATTTCATTTTAAACAATACATCACTTAATGCACGTTTCATGTCCCTTAATTACAGTTTTCGTCGCATTAACGTCTATACGTAGGTACATATATGTACTATATAAAAATAAGTCGGGTTTTTCTTCCTGACGCTATAACTCCAGAACGCACGAACCGATTTCCACGGTTTTACATTCGTTGGACAGGTCTCGGGCTCCGTGAGGTTTATAAAATACTAGCGACCCGCCCCGGCTTCGCACGGGTGCAATATGTATATACATACAAACCTTCCTTAAGAATCACTCTATCTATTAAAAAAAACCGCATCAAAATCCGTTGCATAGTTTTAAAGATCTAAGCATACATACGGACATACAGCGAAAGCGACTTTGTTTTATACTATGTATTGATAAAATAAAAAAAAATTCTTCATCTTTCAATCAGCAAACGAAATGTTACATAAAACGAAGCCATCTGGTGGCGAAACGGAGTTCACCGGGTTTGCTAGTATACATATACACATGAAATATGTCATAGTCACCCTCAGGGGCGAGAAGTGTAATGTCCGAACGCACTGGTTTTTATTTCTGGTTTGAATTTTACACTCGACCTTACTCAAATTACCCGAAAATTCTTATTTAAAACTCGTGCAACCACTTAACCAATGAGGCGGTATCAGATCATTTTTAAAAACCGCTTATAAAAGTAATTTTCTCCTATAATAAAGTAATTAAGAACCCCATAAAGGGTCTTAAGGGCCCCCTGGGGTTTTCTACTCACCGTTTGAAAAGAACTGAATCGGTATGTAGGGTTTTTAAACCCATGAAACGCAGTAAACGATTGAGGGGTTGATAAAACTGTGCCATTACGATTTTCTTTGTAAACCGCATTGCTGTTGTAAGCCCTCGATGTCAGTTTGTATCCACTGTTTGATACGGTGATGGGGATTAATGAAAATTAGACTCTTCTAGTGTTTCTATATCATTTCCTAGTGATTAGAATCCTGATGAGAGAGAAAGAGAAAGAATGTACATATGAATATTATGAAAGAGGTATGTAGGTATCGTAGTAATCGGCGTTCCATAGTCTCTGCCTAATCCCATGGGAGACAGGCGTAAAGTTATGTATGTATGTATGGTAAATCCGGAAAGCATCCCACATGATTATCATCATGTCATTCCTATCAAAAAAGCCGTTTTTGTCGAGTTTCATTACACTATGTTTTTTTAACTAGTTACATGTTTTGCCTTGTTTAATTATTACAACGACTATCTATTTTAACTATATATCGTGAGTTTTAACTTGATTACATATATAAAAGCTTATTTCTATCCTGATGGGTTATAACACATTATGTCTGTTGTCCTAAATACCTAAAAGGTAACCATTTGGGTTAAAGGTAAACAATTGAACAATATTTCGCCCTCATGCTCTGTTGAGCCGGTCACTGTTTAGGCACAGATTCATTGGTCTAGACTCTAGGGTCTAAAAGGCCTTGAATATAGTATAACAAAAAAATGTATTATATTTGTCCTATCACCATCAGAATGTGTTGATGTGTGATCACGAGGGTGATTTAAGTACCCTAGGGATGTGCTGTAACAGGCGTTGTACCGTGGGGGCTCTGGTCTCTTCAGAGGACCCAGTCTCTTCAGAGGACTCGGTGCCCCTTACAGGTGCTGAGGGTGGCCACCGGGTGGTTTTAGTGAGGTACGGATCCCACACTCCCTAGTCTGTCTCCTCAAAAAGATAGGCGCCTTTTGAAGGTTTCCCCCCACAGGTATAATTAATATTTCTGTGTTTCCCCCCGATATCAAAAAAGGGTGGTTTAAGTAAAGTAAAACACATAGGTACTCCTTTTTCTTGTCGCGGAGAACCTAACGGGTTACCGGGGCTCCGGCTTGAAGTGCAGGAGAAGGAACGGGGTGGTTTTTAGTCAGTAAGAGTCTGATACTCCCTCCCGCCTCACCCAGGCGGGAGCAGTAATTCGATGATTTTCCACCCTTAATAAGAAACTCCTTTCTCTTATTTTCGTCAAATAGTATTCACTTTTAAAGGATTTATTTTTAACCAAAAATAGTAAAAAGAACTAGAAACTGTGCAACAAGTGACCGACTTAATCATATTTCATACAAGACGGATCGCTTTGGAAAGGAGTCGGGCGCTCAAGCACTTTATTCTGAACTTTTAATAAGATGTCAAACACAGTATTTTTGTTTTAAAATAATGTATTGGAATGATAATTATAACGTAACGTGCATTATGTATACCTGCATGTTCTTACTTCATCTTTATCCCACACATAACATGATAGTTTTACAATTTAGAAAACTAAAGCTATCCATATCCTAACGCCGAACGTTCGTTTGCGTCGTGAATATAAAGCGAGCAACATACAACTTTGATGAACTTCACTAGAGCGAGTGGAATCGATCCGTATTTGATGACATTAAATGCTTATTTTATTTTATAGAGCCAAAAATGATTAGAGGGAAGCATCGGCTTCGTATAAGTGTATTTCTGTATGTGTATATCCCCTTAGACAAAAGACTTCAATGCAAATACTGGAATTAATAAAATATTCAATGTATTGTAACGGACAAGGGGTCTCGGGTTAGGGTCGGGCAAAATATTACTAGGTTTTTAAAAAAATCTCAGTAGTAGCACGGAGTCTGGAACTGTGCCCGGTATGTGGCAATAGGCTCACCCCCTATTACATGGGACTCACAACATGAATAGCGAAAAGTGGGTGTTACATTGTAAAATGACATTAAGTGTCTTAATGTGCACCTCTGCCTACCCCTTCGGGGATTAAAGGCGCGATTCTATTTATGTATGTATGTTACGTATGGAATGGACATTAACATTCATCAAATAACATTAAAAGTGTATAATGAATTTTCTAGGTACTAGTTCAACCAGTGCTTAAAAGTAATTTTGTCTAGGCTGGCCGGCTGGCATTATATTGCCAGGTCTGATAACCTCGCTAGCATCTCCAGAAGTCAAATTCTGTACTAATGGCTTTACAGCGATTCCATTTCGATAACAAATTAATATTTGAAAGTCATGCTTCTTTACCCAATATTTCGGAAGCTAATGGCAATTACAGTTTGATTGGATTCCGAAATATCACGAATATCGAAAAGCGTCGAGGAAACAGAAAAAGATGCGTACATTTTATCAATTTCTTACATATAATGTTTGACATAACTCAGGTACCTACACCAAAATAATCCTTAGTTAGAATTAATCATCATAACATCGTCAACAGATCGTGATTGATCATTGCTGGTCTGTGTATCTCCTCTACATTCTAATGTCAAACATCACGCTTGGCATGCGGGTTAAAGGTCGCGATTCTAGACTATCAGTAAGGTTCTGGTCTGCACTAAGGTTCTGGTCTGGACTAAGATTCTGGTCTATCAGAGAGTGCTCCTGTGCAGTCTTTGTCAAGTTTAATGTAGTTATAATAATATAAGACATACGACCCACGACACGTGTGATGACAAATATATTATACTCTATTGTCAATTCGTCATCGCATGGATCATGATAATGTACAGGTACTAAAATACATATTTTTTGTTCTCAGTGTCATGTCCAGCGCCCCTCAAGAACCGCGACTTCGTGCTGCAGCGGTCGTGGTTGGACACCGGTGACGAGAAGATGATCCTCAACCACTCCGTCTTTCACAAGGATTATCCGCCGAGGAAGGGATATGTGAGGTACACCTAAATGCCAATAATTTACTATTGTTTACTGATTATTCTTATCTTTGGCTACTTGTAAGGGACGAACAGACTGGCTCAAGGCCCTGTCTCGCACATGCCAAACTAGTGCTCAGTTTAGCGTTAACTTGAGACATGCATCCCCTCCATAAGATATAAATAAAGTTAAAAAAGCCTTCGAAAATGTATTTTGAATTAACAAAAATGTCATGTCACATATTTAGCAACATGTATCTTTTCATTTGACCTTGAAATTCTTATCGCGTAGGCACGAAAAGTACTGAGGAGACATTTAAAATTGCTCAGCGACATTTTAGCCCTTTTGATCCTTTAAAAAACTTGCAGCGACCCGTTTTATCCTGGACAAAATGTCAAAAAGAAAATTTACTAAGCAGACATTTTGCGCCAGATAATGCCTTTGGCGCCAATTCGGGCGTGACGTCACTTATCTAGAACGTTCCTATCTCGTCCTACAGTTAGTTTATTCATTCATGGTTAATTTCGTTACGTGTTACCGTCACTATCTGTGTGGGTTAATTACTATTTACTGATAAACATATTGGATAAATGATAATAATACCGAGAACTTAGTTAATTTTGCAAGTCTTTTTAGTTTGGAGAAAAATAGTATATCACCGTTATTTCATTTACATTCCTCACATACGGCCTCACAGAAAACCGACGTGAAGCAACGCTTGCGTTGTGTTTCGTCGTGTGAGTGAGGTTACCGGAGGCCCAATTACCCTCCCCTTCCCCAATCTCCGCAATTCCTGAATCCCCAACGATCCTCAAACTCCTAATCCCCAAAAGGCCGGCAACGCACTTGTAACGCCTCTGGTGTTCCAGGTGTGACGACGCCAATTGCTTACCATCAGATGACACGTCTGCTCGTTTACCGGCTTATGCCATAAAAAAAACATTACGTAACCATCAACTTATTCAATATATGTACATAGGTATATCTATAGTTCTTAGAATTCATTTTCCAATGCAAGCTATATTTTCACTCGTAACTTTCGCTGTATTTTTAAGATAAAATTTATTGTTATCGCAATACAATTCATATTTTCTTGTAGATAAGAACAACAAAATGTTCAGAAAATCGATAGTCCTCACTGAACGCCACTTCCAGCCCCCATCTTTGTGTTTAACAAAAGGAAATAATTTCTCAAAAACAGTTTTAGCAAGTGCTACAATTTCGCAGACCAATTAGTCTTGAGTTCAGTGCCGGCTTGAAATGTTAAAATACGTATTTAATTAAGGACTGGGTACAGCTTAGGGATTGTCTCGACTCAATTGATTTTAGCTGAGTTCTACTTGATGTGACGAAGACAAATTAGTTTTCTTCTTTCTGTTAAAGTGTCTAGTCTAGATAGATTTTGTTGGTTCAGTGGTCGCCGGGGGCTGTGGGCGTTCTGATCTCCGATTATCTAATTGATTGAAACAACTATTGTGGCGCCTGGTTACTATAGGCTTTCAGGCAGAATACACACACATTGACACGAAGGACATCTGTCGCGTGACATTACGGTGTTGCAAGTACACGCACACATAAATACACCACTGACATTTTGGTGCTTCAATCATTTCTAAGTGATATTACGTCTGCCTGTTTTTCAACGTCCTTGGATTAACTCGTTGAAAATCATCCCATAAATTTGTTCATACAATAGTAGTTTTTTACCATTGGAAATAAGGTCTATAATGTAGTTAGTGGAGGGCGGTCACCAGTGACTGCTTAGGGATATACGGGTAGAGATATAATAAAGAACAAAAAAAGGTTGGATGCGGATTAATTATGCATGAATATGATGACTTCTGAAGTTAAACGAAAGGAAAAGATGAAAACGTACAACTCTTTGAACTTGGAGTAACTATTGAATAAAATAGCAAATGAATTACAACCTTATTATGTCATGAGACTAATAAGGAACTTCGTAAGTACACTAGGGCTTGAAGCATTGTACGGTTCCCTATCAATTTCAAGAAAACCACGCTTGAAAGTTCATTATTCATTGGATAAGTTAGCCTCCGAAAGTTTGTTCAATTTTAGTTTGACGCTATATAAATATTGGTGCGTTAATTTTATGAATTTGAGAGTTTTCTCATGGAAAAGTTTTTCAAAGTTTCGAAGCTGGACGTTTATCACGGTCGCGGATGGAGACAAAGTCATCTAATTTGTAATCAAACCAAACTTTTACCAACAAAAACTTCGTTCGAACTTTATCGTGAGGACATTATTCATGAATGTAGTGCCGAAGAGACCGATTTTCGTCACCCGTTTTGCTATTCATTTACGTACTAGCTGCGTATTAAAATCAAGTGTAGACATTTTCCATTTGGGTTATAGACATCACAGAACCATTCCTGTTTCGTGAGAGTTACAAGATTTGACTGACTAGTTCGATCTACACCAGGCCAGCTCGCCAGGAGATTATGATAATATCATCTTAAATGAAGGTCCTTAGATCATCAGTAATGTTGATAATTTTTTTTTATGGCATAAGCCGGTAAACTAGCTGACGGATCACCTGATGGTGCAATCGGCGTCGCCCATGGACCCCTGGAACACCAGAGGCGTTACAAATGCGTTACCAGCCTTATGGGGAATTAGGAGTTTGAGGATCGTTGGGGATTCAGGAGTTGGGGAGATTGGGGAAGGGGAGAGTAATTGGGCCTCCGGTAACCTCACTCACACGACGAAACACAACGCAAGCGTTGCTTCACGTCAGTTTTCTGTGAGCCCGTGGTATCACTGTGGTCGAGCAGGCCGATACGTGCCGAAGCATGGCTCTCCCACACTTAACCGATAAACTTAACATATGAAACAAAAGCAAGAATACTATATGCACAACAAATTGCAATCATGCACTACAGGCACTACTCATTGGAATTGACGCGCACGATAACCTATCTTATCTCTATAAGCAGTGAGTACAAATTGTGTAAATAAAGTAATGAAACAGAACCACTCTACGCCTACATGGTCCCTGAAAGGTTCGTTGAAGGTAATTTGTTGGTCCGTCATTAAGTAAAGGTCGCTCGGATGTTTGATCAGGTTTCTCCTGGATAAATTAGGTGTTAGTTTGTTGTCTGACTAGATTTACCGGCTTGTGTTAGCTTGCTTTCTTTGTCTTTGTGAAAATTGTTACAGTTATTTAGGGTTTTATTTTAAGATAGATAGAGTAGAATTTCAAATATCAATACAGTTGTAAGTATAACCTTCTTTATAAAAAATGTTAAAGTTTCTTCAGTTCAGTTAAAGTTTAAGTTCAGAGCCTGTCTACGAAAGGCAGAGAACAGTTTCCTTAAAATTTTAGGTGACCTAACTACGATTTCAGGGTTTGAAACCTATCAACGGCAAGTACCAATGCGACTTTTTTCGAGTTATATGTACTTTCTAAAACTATCTAGACACCACTGACAAAGGGTGAAGGAAAACATCGTGACGAAACTTTGGTGATTTATGCTCAAACCTTCTCCGTGTGAAAAGAGGCTTTGCTCAGCAGTGGGCATTTATATGCTGGGCTGTTGAGGACGATGATAATGAACTACGATTTCTAAATCTCTAGGTTCGTCAGAAGTAGGAATTTAGTTTTAGTTAGGTATTTAGATTTTGTTAAACCGTTGCCCCTACACTACGATTTACTCCTGTGTCGTTGGTGCATTTACAAATATACAAGTTCACATACACATCACACTCGGACCCGGAACAACAATCTGCGGATCACACAAAGAATTGTTCCGTGGGGGAATCGAACCCGCGACACGTTGCGCGGCAGCTAGCTGCCTACCGCACCAACCGTGCAATCCAGTACAGTTAGTAAGAGTCTGACACTCTCGCCTCACCCAAGGAGGCATTGAATGATTTTCCCTTCTCAAAAAAAGCATAGGGATTATGACAAAACCCCTCTGTAGTAATCTCCGTCGAAGTAACACATCATCTATTCACTGAAATTCATAATAAGTGTTTATACCTAACTAGCATAAACAAAAAAAAAAAACCTAACTAGCGACCCGCCCCGACTTCGCACGGGTGCAACATGCTGTATTATATATATAAACCATCTTTAAGAATCACTCTATCTATTAACTCGTCGAGTACCGGTTTTGTAGACACAATTATAGAACTGTAGGGACACACTGTTGACGCTGTACTTTTGTGTTCCCAAGCGCGTACGTGCGCTGGCGTCGCACGGCAGTCGTCTCCCCGCAACCGAACTAGTAGGTCGTCATTTTTAAGTATATATCATGTAACTGGTACCAGAATTATATATTTCCAAATTAAATGAAGCGCATCATTTATCCACCTCGACAAAAATAAATAGAACCCCCACATTGGTGACCCCGACGTGATTTTTTTTGATTTGAACACGCATCCTTCGAAGAAATGTGGTACTGGAGCACGTGCACATGCCTTTTGCGTGACGAAGGGACGCGCACATGTGACACGTGGCACAGCGGACACACGCAGGAAGATTGGAGGACCATGGGAGGCGACTCGCCCTTTCCGCTGGGGGGCTGAAAGGGCTGACGGCGTGACGACCAGATGACCTGACGACCAACGACCAAGCTTCTGACAGGTACACATATTATGCAACATCTGCCGAATAGAGTGACACCAGTACTACCTACTCCCGCATGGCTGCATTGTTAAGCTGACTAAGCAGCGACCAAAGCAGACCACCGGAGGGAAGACACAGCATGGAGATTTCCGGAACGACGCGTAAGGCTTTCCTCCTTGAGTGCGACGCCAGCGCACGTACGCGCTTGGGAACACAAAAGTACCGCGTCAACAGTGTGTCCCTACAGAACAATAGGTTGCGGTCACCGGTGACCGCTTGGTGTTTGACAGTTTAAAAAAAGCCGCATCAAAATCCGTTGCGTAGTTTTAAAGATCTAAGCATAATAGGGACAGACAGACGGCGGACAGCGACTTTGTTATATACTATGTAGTGATGTAGTCTGTTCTCTCGTCTCTCTCATTGGGGAATAAA